CTAAATTAGGGACGGCTAGCGCAGATAGCCCTCGTGTAGCTTTGCGCGAAATTCAAAACAAACAAACAAGTATTGTATATGTTTTAATAAGAAATAAAATATTTTGTTGTTGCTAAGAAACTCGTTATAGAAACCGTAACTATGTGTGTGTATATATATATATTTGTATTTTGACAGGAAAAAGATGTGAGAATCATCCTAGGAAACTTTGACCAAAGTTGGGCTGGACAGATATTCTGTGAGGTTGGTCAGTCACGCGGTCCCCTCTAGTCTATAGAAGTATTAGTTAAACATTATTTGTGTAATAAGGTGCTCATATAAATGTATCTCGTTATATTCTTTATAGCTTTCACCATTGAATGTACCCTTTTCTTTTTGTTTATGTCAAAAGCATTTTAAATCATCATGGGATATTTATTCAATTTAATAACAGCCATTGCTATAAGGTACCCGGATGGTAAGCATTCTTACATAAGTCATCCGGGTTGTTAGGTTTGTAAATTAATTAAAATTACTTTACTTTGATGAAGTATTCGGTGGATGATGTTGACTAGCCACCTTCCCTCTAGTCTGTCATTTCAAAATTAGGGACGGCTAGCGCAGATAGTTGGGTGTGTTTGTTGAATTTCATGCAAAGCTACCCTAGAGCTATCTGCGTTAGCCGTTCCTGGTTTTTAGGTAACTGTCAAGAGGAAAAGCAGCAAGTCAATAACATCCACCGTCAACTCTTGGACTCCTCTAATCGAATTTGACCACCACTTTTTATAACGTACCCAAAGTGTAAATCATGATCAGGCCACGACTGGACGCGAACTTTGGACTCTGGGATCCGCAGCCCGACACGGTAAGCATTAGGCCATACCAAACTCCATTACATAAAAAATATAAATTAATATTAATAAAAATATATTGTTTATAATGCAAAATGTTTATGTGCTTTAAGTTTTTAAAGAATTGTCGTTGTACAATATTATTCTTGACCAAACGAAAGAAGAGGAGGGAATCAACATTTATGTATTTTTGAACATGGTGAGAAATAACAGTTATGCTATACCAAACAATTTTTATAATTTCGGCTCAACTTACACACTCACGAATGTTTTGATTTAGTGATCGACTAGAAATGACATTACGAAAACAAGCCTAAATCCTAAAACACATTACGAAATCACAGATAAACACCCAATGAATAAATGCAGTCAACACTAAGGCATAGATAATCAACCTAAATATTAATCTCAACACTGAGGCATAGATAATCCACCTAAATATTAATCTAAAAATATGGCATAGATAATCCATCTAAACATTAATCTCAACACTAAGGCATAGATAATCCATCTAAACATTAATCTCAACACTAAGGCATAGATAATCCACCTAAACATTAATCTCAACAATAAGACATCGATAATCCATCTAAACATTAATCTCAACACTGAGGCATAGATAATCCACCTAAATATTATTCTAAAAATATGGCATAGATAATCCATCTAAACATTAATCTCAACACTAAGGCATAGATAATCCACCTAAACATTAATCTCAACAATAAGACATCGATAATCCATCTAAATATTAATCTCAACACTAAGGCATAGATAATCCACCTAAATATTAATCTTAAAAATATGGCATAGATAATCCATATAAACATTAATCTCAACACTAAGGCATAGATAATTCACCTAAACATTAATCTCAAAAATAAGGCATAGATAGTCCATCTAAATATTAATCTGAACAAGAGATTCACATTTACTCAGATACATTAGACAGTTACTAAAGTATTTATTTAATGTCCGTATTGCTATGTTATAAAACGAGGACATCTGGAACCCTAGTTCATTTTAAATAATAAAACCTTATGAAAACATAGAATTTAAACATGAAAATTTTTAAATGTTATAAAATTGTTAAGAATCTAACTATATGGCTTTGTGGTTAGAGCTCTCGATTCGCAACCTCGAAACCTCTCGTTAAAAATGCTCATGTTTTCAGCCTTAGGGAGTTGGTTATAATATGTCTGTTTTATTGAAGTACATAAAGAGTTGCCTGTTGATAGTGTTGACTAGCTGCCTTTGTCCTGGTGAGTTGCCCGTTGATAGTGTTGACTAGCTGCCTTTGCCCTGGTGAGTTGCCTGTTGATAGTGTTGACTAGCTGCCCTTGCTCTGGTGAGTTGCCTGTTGATAGTGTTGACTAGCTGCCTTTGCCCTGGTGAGTTGCCTGTTGATAGTGTTGACTAGCTGCCTTTGCCCTGGTGAGTTGCCTGTTGATAGTGTTGACTAGCTGCCTTTGCTCTGGTGAGTTGCCTGTTGATAGTGTTGACAAGCTGCCTTTCCCCTGCTGAGTTGCCTGTTGATAGTGTTGACAAGCTGCCTTTCCCCTGCTGAGTTGCTTGTTGATAGTGTTGACTAGCTGCCTTTCCCCTGGTTGGTTACTTTAAGTTTAATACGACTAGCGCAGATAGCCCTCGAGTATCTTGACGCGAAATTCAACAACAAAAAAAATCAAATTTCCCCAATTTATAGCGCCATCTAGTGATAATTGAGAATATTATCATATACTTTTTGACCATTCACAGGCAAAATTATACGCAAAACTCTAAGTCGGTTAGTCCCCGATCTAAATCTATGCTTTCAAATACCGGTGATTATAAAGGGAAAAGTGTTTTTCCTGAGGCGAACGTAGGACACAAAATGTATGCTGTTACTGTTATTTTAACCTAACGTAGGACACAAAATGTATGCTGTTACTGTTATTTTAACCTAACGTAGGACACAAAATGTATGCTTCTTACTGTTATTTTAACCTAATGTTTTAGGATGCGGTTGAGTGTGTTTAATTTATTCAAGGCAGCATTAATTTCTGGGTGGTTACGTATCTGTTTGTTACCTGCAGGCTGGGAATAGCTTAATGGTTATCGTACCAGGCTGGGGATCAGGAACACCAAGGTTCGCGTCGTGATATGAAACTAAATACCCTCCTCACTCTCAGGTATGAGGGCGCTATAACTTTAACAGTCATTCTGCTATTCTGTTAAGAGTAGCCACATATTAGGCGGCGAGAATTGATTTCTCTCTCTCTCTCCCTCTGGTGCGCAATTTTGAAGTTGGGTTCGTTCAATCTACACGTCTCCAACTGCTACTTCACTAACCTAAAGCCATCTTATTTATTTATTTAGACATCTCACTGATAAGAACATCAGCTCCTAGTTGTTGTTGTTATTGTCAAATGTGTCAGTTCCTCCTGTATATATATATATTTAAATTATGTTATCATATTCGTATTTTTGTATACCTAACATCATTTCCAATTCATCTTCATGTTATCCAATGTTGTTTGGAAACGTTTCTCGATGGCTCAGTGGTTAGGTAGAATTTGGAGTTATATATCCGCTGCGGACGAGCGTATGTACCCCATTTAAAAGTTCGTGTGTTTATTTTTAAACGTAATGCTATACAATGAGCTACATGTACCATGCCCATCGAGGATATCGAAATCCGGGTTTTAGCATTATAAGCCTCCGGATTTATCTGTGAACCACTGGGGGCTTCACTTAAGAGCTTTGCACATAAAACAGATAAACAAACATATAAACTCTGTTCATGTTTATTACATTTGTTTGCAGTGTCTTCTGGTGAGTAATTTAATACATCAAAGGGCACGGAAGAAATGAAAAGATTTATCTGTGAACCACTGGGGGCCTCACTTAAGAGCTTTGCACATAAAACAGATAAACAAACATATAAACTCTGCTCATGTTTATTACGTTTGTTTGCAGTGTCTTCTGGTGAGTAATTTAATAAATCAAAGGGCACAGAAGAAATGAAAATCCTATGCGCTTCCAGTGATCATGAAAATATGAGAATAAAAATAGGCTTAGCGTTTTTCATAGAAATAGTATGATTTTCAATATATGAATATTAGTTGTTGTCAATCTTTAATATATTTTGTTTAACTTTTTCTTGGCCAATATATCTTCAAATTATATTATAATTTGCCTTATTACAGATAAATAAATAAGAAGCTATCTTTTTTATTTTCCTACCTGATTTCAAACTAACACCTGGTCACGTGCTCCTATTAATTACGTTCACGACAAAAGAAAGTCTAAAAGAACAAGACAGTTAGTGAAACAGATAGTTTTATTAATTTTAATTAATAATAAAGTTGCACAATGCAAGACAGGGTTAAAACAAAAAAGTCACACACAACAACACAAGGAAATTAAAAGTCACGATGAATTAAATTTTGGATCGATTTATGTTTCTGTTGATAGCGACATCTAGTGGAAAACATATATCTTACTAGATTGAAAACAAAACTAATCCGATTTCCCGATGAGGCTTACAGTAAAACGGAAAGTGAAGTGTGATTAAATATTCATATGTTCAAACTGGTGTATGAAAAGAAAGTTAAAAAAAAGGAAACTAAAATACATTATAATCGTAAGTAAAAAAAAAAATAACGCACTTAATATTAATACCATAAAAGGGGGATGCGCGTACACTCGCTCTCACGTGCCTATGGGAATGAAGTAAATATTTACCGCCCCGCGGTGGAAAGACATACCTACCTATGCACAGTAAGGCAAGAAGCGAGCATGATGTCTCTAAGGTTTAAAAAAATAGGTCTCTTTACTTCTAGCAACTATCAGGATGGTACTCTCTCCTTACAGTAACTGTCAGGATAACATTCTGTATAAACTCCTTATCTACTTTCTGTAGTGCAACTTGGTGTATAGAAGACATGTTAATACTCAAAGGAAACGACCTTATAATGTTGTTTTTATTTAATTAGACACTCAACGTTTTGGCTTTACAGTTTCTTCAGGAGCGTTCCACTAAAACACAATCGGTATAGTACTTGTCGGGATAACTGTTTCCTTTAAGTACTTACGAAAATGTTCTTAAGATTTATAATGTGTTTGTGTTTGTTATGAATTTCGCACAAAGCTACACGAGGGCTATCTGCGCTAGCCGTTCCTAATTTAGCAGTGTAAGACTAGAGGGAAGGCAGCTAGTCATCACCACCCACCGCCAACTCTTGGGCTACTCTTTTTACCAACGAATAGTGGGATAGGACGTCACATAATAACGCCCCTCACGGCTGAAAGGGCGAGTATGTTTCATGTGACGGAGATTCGAATCCGCGACCCACAGATTGCGAGTCGAGTGCCCTAATCACCTGGCTATGTGTTTGTTAAGGGCAAACTGACTCCTTCATAAATGCAAAATGAATTATGACACGTAATGAAAATAATAGATACATACAATATAAATATTGTGTATTGACTTTCTGATAAATGTAGAATGAACGATTCATCAGTAATAAATGAATGTGGCCATTTTGTGATCGTAAATGTCACGGTGCATCTGTCGTCAAAATACACATTTACTTCCTTTCTGATATTTGTGTTGAAAACAGGAGACAGAATTGGAATTTTCATCCTGTACTTACAGCCTATGAGTTAACTAGACATGTCAAAGGATCTTAGTGTTCAAGTTTAACTGTCTCTCGTTTTGAATAACTGGCTATAGGGAAGGGAACTCATCAGCAGCACCTGCCGCCACAAAGTGTTTGTTCGACCCTTTGAACCAAATAAAGAGATTACTTGTTAACATTATTACATATTCGAATTTAAATTATGTGTGACACATTCAATAGCATCACGTCTCGAACCCCGGATCCTTCCATTCGTTGATCAACACGCTAACCATTGGCCACGTCCAGCCAAAAATAGGCTTAAGCGTTGCGGAAAGCGTCATAATTGTCAACAGCTGTGCGTGCTTTGCCCAATTTATTACATGTAAGCTATTTATGGTTAAAACAAGCATTAAATAATTTATTCTTAAACTTAGCACCTCTAGCATCAGTTTTTCTATTGCTCCATACTCTTCCAATGACCTATCATCAACCACGGAAATATTTCCAAGGCTATCAACACACACGCCATAATAGTTTACTCGCCAACAATCATTATTATTATTAGCAAAAATAACTGGTCAACCCAGGTATATTGCGTGTATTCTCGAATAATCTAACGAGCTAAAATATTAATACTGTTAGGCTTAGCGCCGTGCACCAGAGACTTGTTGTTGTATCGTGTGTTGCGAACACTAGGCTGCTCATGTCTGCAATTCTCAAGTTTCATCCTGTCAGTTTTATTGAGTTTAATACTGAGCCTTAATTTCACATAGAATCGATATTATATTATGCTGTACTCAGCTGAATGGTTTCTCACGTCATCAGTGTTTCACAAAAACGTTTACTGACATTTATGTTCTTGCTTAAAATCATTCTCCAGCAACCGTATGATTGAATCAAATAAATAATAGCTCAAAATGAAAATGAATTAAACGCATCAATGTATATATATATATATAAATTAAATACAAATTAAAGTTTTGGATATAATTACCTTCAAAGTATTTATGTGTTGGTTTTTATCTTGGCCAAGATAATTTATATTTGCTTGTAACTACACAAAATGTTGTTGTCTGTTCTGTGCCAATAAGAGTATAGAAACTCGGTTGTTAGCGTAATAAGTTCTTCCGACTTACTGCCGAGCCACTGGAGGCTCCCGAAATAACAAAAATTACGATTTTTGAGGTGATTCATCTCCAAAAGTTTAATTTATTTATTTTATCACATTCGCATTTTTCGGTTGTTGTTGTTGTTGTTTGGTATTATATATGAGTTTGTATATGTGTTTAATTTTATTCCAATGAGTGACCGTTCTTAGGCCTATCATGTGGGACTCTACGGTAGAAAGTACCAGTGGATAATTGTTGGAATGTATGACGAACACTGGTGGAGAAACAATGATAAACACATCACGTGCGACCAGTCTCAACTCCAGGAAGCATTAGAAGGTTATATTGCCACCGATGTTCTGCCTTTAAGTACTGAAGATAAAATTACTGTTTCAGGCCTGGTAAGTCTGTCCGCTAGGGGGCTACATGATTACAAAGGTTCTGCCTCTAAGTACTGAAGGTAAAACTACTGTCTCAGGTCTGGTAAGTCTGTCCGCCAGAGGGATACATGATAATAAATATTTTATCTCTGAAGATAAACTCACTGTCTCAGACCTTGTAAATCTCTCCGCTAGAGGAATGCATGATATATTTTACCTCTAAAGATAAGCTCACTGTCTTAGACCTGATAACTTTCTCCGCTAAAGGGATCCATGATAACAAATATTTTACCTCTGAAGATAATCTCACTGTCCCAATCCTGGTAAATCTCTCCGCTAGAGGAATGCATGATAACAAATATTTTACCTTTGAAGATAAACTCACTGTCTCAGACCT